CGCACCGCAGGTCCACACCACGTCTTTCGAAGAGATGTTTGAGGTGAACGCCACGGTGATGGGCTGTGGGAAGGATGCGAAGATCTGGATGCACGATATATTGAAATCCTTTGACGACATCGTCTCAAACATCACAAACCTGCACCGCTTCAAGGAGGAGATCAAGGTAGGCCGTGGTCACAGCCCACAGCTCTGCCCCCCCCCGTGAGAGGGAGGCAGCGTGCTCGGACGCTGCCACTGCGACGCCCGCGCAGATCGCTCGCACGCGGCATCCGTCTGCCTGAAGTTTAGCGGCTCACGGGGGGGGGGGGGGACGGTGAGCAGTCAGGACGCTGAAACAACCCAGAGGATCCCAGACCATCCAATAGGTGGTTTTGCGCCTCCAGAATGGTGATCTCTATGACCGTGAGATCTGTTTCGGGACCTCCAGTAGTCAAGGGAGGAAAAAACCACCCGGACCCGACAACTGGCGTCTGCCAAAGGGGCCCGGGCGCTTACTGGACAGCCCTGCCCTGTTCGATTCCTCCTGTGGGGGGCGTTTCGTGACGGGCTTCGCGTGTCGGGGTGGTTATTATGGGGGTGAGTTTTTGGCCCTCTAAAAAGGACGGTCGAAAAACCGACCTCCCAATCGCAGCGCAGGAGTGCCCATCTGGCGGCACCTCCAAATTGCTGTGGAAGTCGATTAGTGGAGAGGAAGCATGCTGCCAAAGAATTTCCAGATGTCTAAAAGATGTTTCAAACATGTTTTGAATTTGTTTGAAACAGCTTTGGAACATGTTTAGAACATGCGTTACACACACTGTAAACACATCTTTAGTTCAACGACAGGGTTATTACAGTCGGGGCCCTGAAGAAGGAACCCTTTTCGTTGGGGAGTGGCTCCGCGTTCCTTAAGTGTTTCGCAGCTTGCCTCAGGCTTTCCTTATGTTTTCGATCGGAAATCGAAGTTTGACTCATGGAAAAAAGGGGCCTCGTTCCTTCTTTAGGGTTCCTTAGGTCAACGCCCCGACTGTACACACTTTAAGCACATCTTTAGCTCAATGACAGGGTTGTTAGAGTGCCCATTGTCATGCCATCCACAACCGAACTGGCGGATCGTCTGGGAAGGAACGCCCGCGGGCTCGTGGCGGGCTCGCTGGTCCTCGGGGGCCCCTCCGTGGCTCTCCTGCGGCGCTCCTCGTGCACCCAGGCGCTCGGGGGGGCCCAGGAGGGGGAGGGGGAGGGGGAGGAGGAGGAGGAGGAGGAGGAGGAGGAGGAGGAGAGGAGGAGGAGGAGGAGGAGGAGGAGGAGGAGGAGGAGGAGGAGGAGGAGGAGGAGGAGGGGGAGGGGGAGGGGGAGGAGGAGGAGGAGGAGGGGGGAGAGGAGGAGGGAGGAGGAGGGAGGAGGAGGAGGAGAGGAGGAGGAGGAGGAGGAGAGGAGGAGAGGAGGAGGAGGGGGAGGGGAGGGGAGGGGGAGGAGGAGGAGGAGGAGGAGGAGGAGGAGGAGGAGGAGGAGGAGGAGGAGGAGGAGGAGGAAGAGGAGGAGGAGGGGGATGAGGAGGAGGAGGAGGAGGGGGAGGAGGAGGAGGAGGAGGAGGGAGAGGAGGAGGAGGAGGAGGAGGAGGAGGAGGAGGAGGAGGAGGAGGAGGAGGAGGAGGAGGAGGGGGAGCCCCGGAGGGCGGCTCCGCTCCTCATCTGGCGGCCCTTTTGGCAGCAGCCTGCACGTTGCTCACTTCTAAGTCTTCGAGGGTTCTTCGATTTTTTTTTTTGGGGGGGGGCCACGATCCTTTCATTCTTGACCGTTCTATCCTGGGCCTCTTCCTGGCCACTGGGGGGCCAGGAACAATCAAGAACCGAGCACGATCAGAAATTAACGCGATTGGGCAGGAACGACGTGCAGCTGTATGATGGGGCCTGGGGGCCGCTGTCCAGGTGAGCTGCTACGGAAGAAGACGAGGTCGACAGCGTCGGCATTCGCGCGCAAGCTGCCGCGTGCGCAAGGTCGCGCGTGCGTTGGTGCCCTCGTCTTCCATGTAGCCTGCCGCGCCGGTGGCCCGCGCAAGCCACCGCATAGGGTCGCCACGCCGTCTCGCACAAGAGGCGTTCCTTTTTTCGTCGCTCGTGTGGCGTCCCCGGTGGCAGCAGCCTGGCTGTGTGATGGGGCCCGGGGGCCGCCCGTCCAGGTGGTGGCCCTGCGCATGTCCAAGCACCCGGAGGCCGGGGCGGCGAACCTCTCCCAGTTCCGGGCGTGCATGCTGGCGGCGCTGCGCTCCCTGCTGCCCAGGGTCTGGACCACCTCGCACGAGGAGGCCTGGTGCTGGCTGTGGGACAGGGTGGCCACCTCGCTGCGGAAGAACGTGGCCTCCATCCCCGCGCACGCGCAGTGCCTATCCCGAAGGAGGGAAGCCCTGACAGGTCGGCGCCACGCCTTCGTCGAGCCGGGCTTGGTCGCCCCGCCTGGGGCCCCAGGACCCTCACAGATCGATCTGGCCCGCAAGAAACGACGCAGAGAGATGGGCTCCAGGGTCCCGATCGTGATTCTTGATGGTGTCTCGAGTCTCGAGTATCCGTTTTTTTCGCGCAGGCGGATCTCAGGGACCACGGCACAGAGTATGAGCTCTCGGACGTTCGCGTGGGGCTCTCTTGGGCTGGCGCTGGGCACCCCCTGGCGGCGTCTCCGGCGCCGTCCCTGGCGCGCTCCGCGCGGCAGGGAGGGGTGGGGTCCAGCGTTACTTTGGGCATGTCCCTCTACAGGAGGAGTATCCAAGGCTAGTTGAAGAATAGCCTGGTGACGATTCTTCGGGCTTTTGTTTTGTTGACTGTGTCTGCTTATGTGTTGACCACTGCTTAGTTTTCTTCCAGAACCCGCCTGCAGGAGGGGCGTGCCCGGCCTAAATCCAGCGGGAGTCCAGCGTCGAGCCAGGGAGTCCGCGCGGGGCTCCGAACGTGCATGCCGATGCCGTTTTCGCTTCTTCTGCCATCCTCGCAGATCGGAGGCCAGGACGAGACCGAGCGCTACGGCTTCCGCAGGGACATCTACACCCGCTTTTTCGAGATCGCCCCAGAGGGGCAGGACTTCTTCAAGCAGTCGAACACTCGGCTGCACTTCATCGCAGACAGGATCCTGGTGATGACGATCGAAATATTCCACCAGCCGAAGACCTTGCTATCTGAAATATCTGCACTGGGCTTGCGACACGTCGGTTTCGGCATCCCGACACATCTGTTTCCACCTTTTGTCAACGCATGCGTGCACGTCATGCGATCAAGGACGAAGGACGGGTCAGTGAATGAGGCCTTTCGTTGGTCTCTCTCGCTCATCTCGCAAATCCTGGTCCGGACCATCAACGAGGGCTCTACGGTGGTCATGCAGGCCATCAACCGGAACTCGGTGAGCCAGCTGAAGAGGGCCATCGCAAAAGAGCCGCGCGGCCGGCGCTTCCAGTCGCTGTTGGACGTCCACGTCGGGGAGCAGCACATCTCGCCACTGGAGTGGGCGATCGAGAGCGGGAGCCTGAGGTCGGGGAGGAAAAACGGCACAACACTCCTCCTCCTCCTCCTCCTCCTCCTCCTCCTCCTCCTCACTCCTCCTCCTCCTCCCCCTCCCCCTCCCCCTCCTCTCCTCCTCCTCCTCCTCCTCCGTCCTCCTCCTCCTATCCTCCGCCTCCTCCTCCTCCTCCTCCTCCTTCCTCCTCCTCCTCCTCTCTCCTCCCCTCCTCCTCCCCTCCTCCCTCCTCCCTCCTCCCTCCTCCCTCCTCCCTCCTCCCTCCTCCCCCTCACTCCTCCCTCCTCCCTCCTCCCTCCTCCCTCCTCCCTCCTCCCTCCTCCTCCCCCCTCCCTCACAAACTTCCGGAGTTTCGCGCGGATTCCTTCGATCGGCGATGGCGCCCTTGTGGCGGCGCCTCTGGCACCGATCCGAGGAATCCGAGCGGCTCTCCGAAAGTGTGTGCTCGTGCCGTCTGTTCTGCTCCCCTTCGAGGGTGGCCGAGGCGATCCTGAGGGACCTGCTGACCATCCGCGCCGACCGGGCCAAGTACTACTATGGGGTGGACGAGCTCTTCGGCCGCCACCCCGACATCGTCAAGAAGATCAGCGAGGAGGCGATGACGCTGCTGATGACGCTCCTCGACGGGCTGGTGTTCGGAGGGCACCAACTATACACCAACACCGATCCTGGCCCAGGATCACCCTGGGCCCAGGATCGGTGTATATACCTTCTTGCGCAAGGTAGGAGGGCGTATACACCGATCCTGGGCCCAGGGTGATCCTGGCCAGGATCGATGTTGGTGTATAGTTGGTGCCTTCCTAGGTGTGGCGCTCGCACCGCACGTCCGAGCGGCCGGAGGGCACCATGCGGAGGAGGGCCAGGGCCAGACAACGGCGGCCCCTGGCCGGCGCCTCTCGCCTCCGCCTGGGCCGCCTGGAGGCTCCTCGTCGCCACGGCGGGATCCGCCCCGAAGCAACGGGTCAGCATGGACCCTCCTCCTCCTCCTCCTCCTCCTCCGCCTCCTCCTCCTCCTCGCCCTTCATCCTCCTCCTCCTCCTCCTCCTCCTCCTCCTCCTCCTCCTCCTCGCCCCTCCTCGGGAGGGGTCTGGGGACAGACTTCGAGTGGCACTGGGCCGGGTGGAAGAGCCGCCGTGGTCTCAGTCGGCCCCCCTCCGGACCGTGCGGAGGTGCAACTACTTCCTCAAGCACGTCCTCGTCGCGAAGGACGGCGGCTTTTCCGATTCCCTGCAGTGGATATCCGCTGCCGGAGACCCCGCGTTTGTCTCCCACCCGGTCATCTCCAAGATCCTGGACATGCTGTGGGGAGGGGTCGTGTACAGAAGCTTCATCATCTCCAGGATGTGGAACATGGTCGGCCTGATCGTGTTCCTCATGAGCCAGGAGGTCCTCGAGCGGCACTTCGAGCAGTCGGCCCAGGTGCGGTACATGGTCCTCGCTGGCAGGATATACACCTACATCATCGGCATGGGCAGGCTGATCACCTACCACCTGGGCCGCATCTGGACGTGGTGCCGCGACACGATGCGCAGAATCATTCAGGAGATCGACACGGACGGAAACGGCTCCATCGATCGCGAGGAGATGGTCGAGGCCCTCAGGCGGTTCAAGGACACGGTCGGGGCGGAGATACGGAAGGCCCTGCGCGTCCTCCGGGACGACGACGGGGCGGGCGGGCAGGACGAGGCGCGCAAGGCCATCGCGAACAAGGAGCGAACAAGCTGGGACCGACCAACAAATCAGGGAAAACGTTGGCCGAAGCATTTTTTTTCGGGGGGGGGGGGTGGGCGGGGCATTTTTTCGAGACGAGGAGAAGAACACGTACAACATCATCAGCTTCGCGCTGATGCTGGTCCTGGCGCTGATGCTCCCGCACGAGCCCCTCATCTGGTGCCTGGACTCGCCAGACTGGACCCCAAGAGGGGAGGAAGAAACGGTACCACTACCGCCGCGGCTCGTCCTGCAGAGTATCGTCGCCACGCAGAGACCCCCCCGCGCGCGCCATGACACAAAGAACATGACGCACGGCGTCTTGCTGTGTTCGGGCCCTGGGCTTTGGTATCGCTCGGACGTGTGCACTTTTTTCTCGGCGGGGATTATGAAGGAGCATCCTGGATCATCCTGCGACAAAAAGCCGCGCACGAAGCCCAAAAAAGCACGGGGAAGGGATGTCCGAGCGATGGCCAGTGGGAGCCCTCGCTGGGCCCTGGGACCGTCAAAACAGGGCTCAGGATGAAAAGCCGGTCCCGCTCCTATGGGGTTGACATTGCGAATCATGATTGTGTCGGGGGTCTGGGGACCTTTGCCCGTCCTGGAGAGCCCTGTGGACCTTTGCCCGTCCTGGAGGGCCCTGATCGCCACGGTTTGATTCTCCTTAAAGTTCTTGTTAGAACGCACCCCGGGAGAGCTCCGCGGAGTAGGGGTATCGGCACCTCTTTTGCTTACCCAGGCCCACTACCCAGTGCCCAGACGCCGATAAAATCAGGCACCAGTACTCCGTCTTGGCCATGATGGCGATGGCGGTGCACTGGTTTATCTTGATAGACCTGGCTGTGTTCAACACGCAGATCTCCGCGTTCTTGCTCGTCATCGGCCAGGTGACCGGGGAGGTGAAGCAGTTCCTCATGGCGATCTGCTTCCTGCTTCTGATGTTCGGCAGCGCCATCAGCATCATGTGCCGCAACTGTCCAACCGAGGGCGGCAATTACGACGACATGCCCAACGCCATCGTCACACTGTTTGCCATCACAGTCAGCTTGTACCAGGGCGACTTCAGGCAGATCGACGAGAGCCCAGTGCTGCTCCTGTCTGTCTTCACCTTCTTAACAGTATCAGTGATCCTCCTCCTGAACCTGCTGATCGCTCAGATCAACCGCTCCTACGAGTACATATACAAAGACATGCTCGGATTCGCCCGCCTCAATCGCGCGTCGCTCATCGTGGACGCCATGAAAGCGGAGCAGAAAAAGCCAAAGTGGCACAAGTACGTGGCGAGCCTGAAGCTCGATGAGAGGGTCGAGTTCGACGAGGGCGACCTGGGTCTGGCCGGGTGCATTCAGATCCTCGAGGAGGCGAAGTTGCACAGGCAGTTGACAGAGAGCATCCACCGGTACGGCGGCACCTCGTCGCCCCTGGAGCCCTGGCCCGAGGACAAGTCCGAGCTGCAGCTCGAGAGCAACGAAGAGCGCCTCCTCCTCCTCCTCCTCCTCCTCCTCCTCCTCCTCCTCCTCCTCCTCCTCCTCCTCATCATCATCATCATCATCATCATCATCATCATCATCATCATCATCATCATCATCATCATCATCATCATCATCATCATCCGCATCCGCATCCGCATCCGCATCCGCATCCGCATCCGCATCCTCCTCCTTATCACCCTCTCCTCCTCCTCCTCCTCCTCCTCCTCCTCCTCCTCCTCCTCCTCCTCCTCCTCTCTCCCTCTCTCTCCCTCCCTCCCTCCCTCCCTCCCTCCCTCCCTCCCTCCCTGCCTCCCTGCCTCCTCCTCCCTCCCTCCCTCCCTCCCCCTCCCTCCTCCCCCTCGCCCTCTTTCTCCTTCTCCTCCTCCTCCTCCTCCTCCTCCTCCTCCTCCTCCTCCTCCTCCTCCTCCTCCTCCTCCTCCTCCTCCCAGGAACGTCTCGACCGCCTCGACGCGATGATCCAGAAGGCCCTGGCCAAGTTCCACCGCTCCGGCGCCCAGCCTGGGGACCCCCCGCCAGGGGAGCCCGCCGCCGGCAGCGACTCCGAGAGCAGCGCGCGCGCGTCCCTGTCGCCCCGCGGGCGCGCGGGCGAGCCCTGACGCCGAGCGCGCCGCGGTCCTGTGCGGCCGCCGCCGAGGCGCGCGCGCGCCGGCGCGGCCCTGGGTGCCCTCGGCGCGCGGGCCCGCTGCACGGAAGGGGCGTTGGGGAGGGATGTGCGGAGGCGGCGTTCGTGGAAGGGTGCTCTGGAGGGTTCCTTATCCGATGAGGGCGGCGGCGAGATCTCCACGGGGAGCTCCACCGACGGCCCCAGTGGCTGCGTTCGAGTGCGCCCACCGCGGCACACCCCACACGCTTCGTGGCCCCACAGGGAGCTCCACCGACGGCCCCAGTGGCTGCGTTCGCATGCGCCCACAGTGGCCATGCCTCAGTGGGTGTTCCACAGGCTTCCAGGCCCTGGGTCCTGGGCGCCTTATCCACTGGTTCCTCCTCCAGCGCCCTCGCCGCAGCTTCGATCGGGGCAAGCAGAAGTTACATGGACAAACTTTCGGAGCTCAGAGCGGATTTCTCGCATCGGCGCTGGGCTCCCACCGCTGGCGCGCGGAGCGCGCCAGGGGTGGCGCCGGAGGCGCCGCCTCGGAGTTTCCGAGCAGGTCCGAGAAATCCGCGCGGCGCTCGAAAGTTTATGTTTATGATGTTGGTTCGTTCCCCAACGCCAGCTTTGAGAGCCCACGCGGTCGACGCGGCCGCCTGGATTCAAAGCCCACGCAGTCGAGGCACCCGCGCTACCTTGGCGCGCGGCGCGCCCTTCGCGCACGGCGGCGGGCGTCGCCAGGCCCGCCAGCTCTGATCGGGGAGCAGGAGCTGACACAGGCAAAAATTGTCCGAGCTCCGCGCGGATCTCGTGCATCGGCGCCGCACCCCCCTCCCTGGCGCCGGAGGCGCCGCCAGGGGGCTCCTGGCGCGGATGCGAGACATCCGCGCGGACCTCTCCGAAGCTGCACGTCTCCTGCCGCCCTCTTGCTCCCCGGAGGCGGGCCACCTCGGAGCCCGCGCTGCCGAGGCGGCCGCGCGCTCTCGGCCCCCGCGGCGCGCCCTTCGCGCGCGGGCGGCGGCGCGCGCTGGCTGGCGGGCACTGGGCGGGCGTGCGCCGCTGGGGCCCGCGCGCGCCGCCAGAGGCCTGGCTTGTCGAGGTCCCCGCGTCGGGGGCCCTGGCGGCAGCGGGTTTGCTCTTGGGCGGCTCGGCTCGAGGAAGAGGAGAAACGCCCTGGGCACGAGCTTCTCGACGGCCCGCTCGGATCGTCGGGCGTCTGTGTGTTGTGCAGCTGGCTTTCCTTCTCTTCTTCTTCTGCTCGCAGCGGCGCGTTGGCAGGCCTTCCGGGTGGTCCTAGCTCGGGGCTCCCCGCTGTAGATTGCACTGCGTCTTCCGCTCCGCCTCTGGTCCCATCGTCAACGATGCGCGCTTGTTGCTGCACCGTGAGCTGGTTGGCTCGAAGAGCCCCTGGGGGGCGAAACGCGCAGCCTCTTTTAATAGCGTTTCGCCAGAAGGTTCTAGTGGAGGTGACTCGGGGGTGGACAGAACCCCCAACAGTGACACGTCGATTAGTGAATTGTCCGTTTTCGGTTCTCGAGAGGGCGCCGTGGCCGTTATTTTCCAGGCTTGCGCCCGCCAGGTTTGGGTCTCAGGTCGTTCTCACTAAACCACGTTTTACTAAAGGGGGGTCTGTCCATCCCCGAGTGACAGTGGACCACAGAAGAGTGCCACAGGGGGGGATGGGGAAGCCCTAGACCGCCCGGTCCGACAGCCGGTCTCGCAGCCGCTTCGCCGGAGCCTTCCACACAAGTGGTTCATGAATCGTGCACTCACATGTTTGGTCAGGGTGGCCACGATCCTTTCCGTAGAAAGAATCAAAGAGGAGCAAAGAGGAGGGGGGGGAGGAGGAGGAGGAGGAGGAGGAGGAGGAGGAGGAGGAGGAGGAGGAGGAGGAGGAGGAGGACGACGAGAATGAGAAGGAGGAGGAGCAGGAGGAGGAATAACAATAATAATAGAAAGTGCACGTGCCAGTGCTCCCACCCCTGTCCCGAGTCGTCGACGTCTTGGAATCCCCAGGGCTGCCCAGGAATGCACCCTCGCACTAGCCGACCTCCTAAACCCTGAACCCTACGTAAACCCTAAACCCTGAACTCTACACTCCTCGACCCGCCTCTTCACCTTTGCTGCTGTTCGGGTGGCGTGCTGGGCTGAGGGCTGAGAGCCTCCGTTTTTGCGCACGGGCTCGAAGCGGTCCGTCGCTCCGTGGCCGCGGCGCCCTCGGGGAGTCTCAGGTGCTGCGCTCTCTGACTGCCTCTCGTGCCGCCCGAGGCGAAGCTTCGTCCCAGGGCGCCGGGCTCTGCAGCCTCTGCGAAAGACTTCCACGATCACGCATTCCTGTCTTGCGTGCCCAACACAAGGTCCGGCGGCCCGCGCAAATGGCCATCATCCATCGGCCGTCATCTCCGCCGCCATCACTGCCACTGGCTCGGCAGGCTCACTGAATGCAGCGCTAGGTGGTGCACAGCCGTGTTGCTTTGTTTGCTGTCCATTCCACTTCGGAGGTGCTTTCCCCGTCGTCTCCATTTGCCGCTCTCCCGTCGGAGGGTTGCTTCTCCTCCCTTAAAGAGGCGGGCATCGTTCAGTCAGAAGTTGGCCATGTGTTGGAAGGTGGCTCGTGAAATAGTTCCCTGCGCAGATGATCTCGAGTCTTGCCCTCGTTACGCCGCCGTCCATATCAAGGGCGACCAGAGCTGAACATCCCAAAGCGTGGGCTGGCCAATGTCTCAGGGGGGATTAATTCTCAGGCACAGCATTCATCAACGCTTCATTGCAACAGCAGGGTACAGATATGGAGGTCCTTCTGGGGGCGGCAAAGACTCGTCAGTAGCGCAGAGTCTGGCTCTGAAGGTACAAGAACTGAGCGCAGCACACCACATGGACAGTTACTATATGCCAAGCATGCGAAGTGAGCGACGGAAGAATACGGGGCCGTGTTCACGGGCAGTGGCGCGCAAGCCGCCCGCGTGAGGTCGCGCGTGCGCGCCCTTCCGTTTCCAATGTGGCGCTCCGCGCTGGCGCCCCTTCCAGGCCACCGCGCAGGGTCGCCATGCCATCTCGCGTAAGACCCGCTCCTTCTCGCCGCTCAGGCGGACAGCCATGCGCCAGGACGGCGAATCGAGGGAGAGGAGCACGGAAAGCGAGGGACGTGCCGCAGAGGACTGCGAATGTTGGCCGTGCAGCGGCGAGTCGAGGGAGAGGAGAGCACAGAGAGCGAGGGCCGTGCCGCAGAGAGCTGCGAATGCTGGCCGCGCAACGGCGAGTCGAGGGAGAGGAGAGCACAGAGAGCGAGGGCCGTGCCACCGTGCCACAGAGAGCTGCGAATGCTGGCCGCGCAACGGCGAGTCGAGGGAGAGGAGCACGCAGAAAGCGAGGACCGTGCCGCAGAGAGCTGCGAATGCTGGCCGTGCAACGGCGAACCGAGGGAGAGGAGCACGCAGAAAGCGAGGACGTGCCGCAGAGGAGCTGGCGAGTGCTGGCTGGCGCAGCGGAGGAGAGAGGGGGACGGGGGGCGGCGGAGGCGGCGGAGGTGGCGCGGCACGCAGGCTCGCGGAGAGCCCCCCGAGGGCGTGGCGTCTCATCGGGCGCTTGCCCCTCCACAGGAGGAACGTCCAAACATCGTCCAAACATAATTTGGGGACGACTCTTCGATGCTTTTCTGATGCTGCGTTTGCGCGTTGTTCGCCTATGTGTTATTGGTTGTCCAAAATCCCCCTGCAGGGGGACAGGCCCGACCTGAGCGTAGCGCTCGCGCGGGCCCGATGCCTCCGAAACCTCTCCGAGGAGGGGGCGGCGCTCCGGCGCTCTGCGGCCCGAGGGCCACCTCCGCCAAGCTGGGAGCGAGCCCCCCGTCACGCCCAGCAGCCTCCGCAGCCCCGTCCTGACGCGAGACCTCCTCGATCCTCCTCGATCCTCTCCTCGATCCTCCTCCTCGATCCTCCTCCTCGATCCTCCTCCACGATCCTCCTCCTCGATCCTCCTCGATCCTCTCCTCGATCCTCCTGGATCCTCCTCCATCCTCCTCCTCGGCGCTCCTCGATGCTCCTCGAGGGCCCCAGGGCCTCAGGGCGGCCTCGACAATGGAGCAGCAAAACGCTGCTTGAGCCACAGCTTTCGGAGCTCCGCCCGGGTTTCTTGACCTGCGCCGGGCCCCCCCCCCCGCCCCCCCCGGCGCCCCGACGACGCAGAGTCGAGCAGCGGCCGAGCCCGGGCCTCTGGAGGCCCGAGTCCAACCCCCACCTGAGCGATCAGAGGATCGCTCAGGTGGGGGGGAGGGAGGGAAGAGGAGGAGGAGAGCGGAGGAGGAGGAGGAGGAGGAGGAGGAGGAGGAGGAGGAGGAGGAGGAGGAGGAGGAGCCCACTGGCGGCGCCTCCGGCGCCGCGAGGGGTGTGAAGGAAGGCGCACCTTCTCAGTGGCCCTGCGGGGCTCCCTGGGGCCCAAGAGGAGGAACGACAGGTGCACGCTTCGTCGGCACTCGTGCATCGACCTCCCGGTGATCAACGATGCAGGGAGTGGGCAGGCACCAGTGCAGGGTGGGGCCACGGAGGAGGAGGCAGAGGCGGAGGCGGAGGAGGAGGAGGAGGAGGAGGAGGAGGAGGAGGAGGCGGAGGAGGAGGAGGAGGAGGCGGAGGCGCAGGAGGAGGAGGAGGAGGACGAGGAGGAGGAGGAGGAGGAGGAGGAGGAGGAGGAGAAGGACGAGCAGGAGGAGGAGAATGAGGAGGAGAAGGAGGAGCAGAAGGAGGAGGAGGAGGAGGAGGAGGATCAGAGTAAGCCCAAGACGCATCAAAGCTGTTGCAATAGACCGTCCCTCTAAGATCCCTCTGCATAGATCCCTGCAAGAATTTATTTTCACTGCGGGGAGTCCCCCATTGGAGGACAACCGTCTGAGAATCCCCAATCGTGCCAAAACATTCCTGGGACTTCAGCGCTGCGAATCAACGTTACTGTTGCGCCCTGACCATCCTGAATCGTGCCAAAGCACCATTCCTGGGACTTATTTCAGCACCGCGAATCCACGTGATTGTTGCGCGCTGACAATCCGACATCGTACCGGAGCACCATTCCTGAGACGTCAGCCACGATAACATGTAAATGCGCTGGGCACTTTTTAAACGAATACGCGCGGCGCTGAAGCGAGAGATACATCTAACCCCCCCCCATCATCCATCCGTGAAGCTTTTAGGAGCTTCCACCACGAACGTAAGGCGAGAGCCACATTCTGAAAACCACCCACCCTCCATCCGTGAAACTATTGTATACTTTTGAAACGAATGCGCGCGGCGCTAAGGCGAAAGCCACATATTGAAAACCACCCGCCCTCCATCCGTGAAGGTTTTGCATTTCTTAGCTTCAGGATCGTAAGTGGTGCGGAACTCAGGCGAAACGCCCAGCCCGCCCTTCCGACACGTCTCGGGGTGCGACAGGGAGAAGTTGCTTATAAGGAAAAGGGATGGAGGAGGAGGAGGAGGAGGAGGAGGAGGAGGAGGAGGAGGAGGAGGAGCAGGAGCAGCAGCAGCAGCAGCAGCAGCAGCAGCAGCAGCAGCAGCAGGCGGAGGAGGTGGAGCAGGAAGAGGAGGAGAAGGAGTCGGGCGCCTGCTTGGGGAGGAGGAGAGGGGAAGGCACGGGCAGAGGGAGGCCCACGGCCGCCGGGGAACGGCGGCGGGGAGGCGCGGGGAGGCGCGGGGGGGGGGGCTTCTGAAGGGCGGCTGGGCGGCTCCCTCCCGGTTGGTTTCTCGCTCGGCGGCCCCATTGCCGAGTGCGTCGCGCCCCTCGGCCTCACGACCGCTCGTGGTGCCCCATCTGGCCGCAGCAGAAGGTTCCCCGGAAGCGCGCCAGAGACGCTCGCGGCATGGCCCCCAGGGCAACGCCAAGGTGCAATCAAGGAGCGGCGTTTGCCTCCCGCCCAGGGCTTCCGGGCACCCTGCTTTCAAAGGATGGGGCTCCTGTTTGGTTGGACTACGGTTGTTTTTCTTAGAGGGCATCAGGGGAGCGTGATCT